CTCGTCGTACAGTGATTGTAGCTGCCGCAGTTTCCACCGATGATTTGGGAGAGGGTAGGTAGCTGCGCATTGCAGGCGGGAGATGATAAATTGATGCATGAATCCAGCAGTCAGTGGGCTGTCAAGTGGGGGAATTGGAACAGGGGCTATGCATTGAAGGCAATAGCCTGGATGCACGAGCGCCATTGAGGGGGCGACTGGGCCATGTCTGGCAATTTCTCTAGCCATTGATGTGGCCCGTCTCGGGGTTCCCATCCAGGAAGACGGCAGTGACTAGCGCAGCTGAGTTTGCTGGTAATGGCTTTCATACTTCGCTGCCAATTTTTAAGTGTAGTGTTGGTACGCATTGATAGTGAGCCACGTCAAGTCGTGAATAACTCCATGCATTCCAAGAGTTGAATACGCCCTCGTAGCGGAGGTAAAAGCGCGTATCTGGTCGCTAAAGTGGCAAGGAAGGCATGATAAGAGCGAAGAGACACTGACCATTGTGTGTTCTGCCGGTTTGTTCACCTCTCTGACCCATTTGCATATCACTTTAAAACCTGTGAAATTTTTCATACTAGGTTGGTCAATTGATAAACGTCTGATGAACACAGTCTCCTGGTCGTTCATGTTGATCTTGCAACATGTGGGGAGACATACTGCTTAAAAGTGTAGACCGCTGTGGTATTACGCCAACCACCGCAGTTTGACTTTTGAGCCGAAGGCCTGGATGCTCCAACGGTATGTGTACATCATGACTGCAAAAGTTGACATGGAGCAGGACCCCGGTTTGCCGCATAACGTCGTTGACGAGTACTTTTCACTGAAAAACGCCGCCTCACCTCGTCCTCTGCACACTAGTTTCCCCAAAAGGCATATGGACTAGCATATTTTACCTAGCCGACGAAAGTACGATTTTGATATATTGTTTGACTGTGTGGAGCCGTGTTTTTTCAAGAACTGCTGTTGCTTTAATGCTGCAAAGGTACCGGACCACGTGCCGTATGCTCATCCGAATGAGCATCTTCAGTGCCTGGCCAGGATACTCTGATGATGCACTTTCGCCCTAAAGAAAATCTCCTTGCTGATGACGGGTTGACAGAAACGAAACGAGATACTTTGGTGACAAGATTGAACCTGCTAAGTATCAATATTCTGTAAGCAAATCCTCAATAGAAGGAAGAAACTGATGTCACGGTACAATTCTCTGAAGTTTGTCCGGGTACCTCGCAACATTCGTAACCCCCGCCACGCACGTGAATTTCGGAAAGCGAAATAGTTGATATTGTTAGCTGCGAAAGGCTATAGCAATAAATCTTGGTTGACTGTCAAAGGCAATTGCGTAACCATTTGGATACCAAGCGTAGAGTTACATTGTTCTTGTCAACTGCTGGGAAACTGAATGCACACGATATATGACGACGTCTATCGTGGAGCAAGAATTTCGGTGAGCGCAGCTGTGAATCTGACTAGTATGGACTACTATGGGAAACCTTGCACTTTCAAAAAACTTTAAAAGCACAGCTGTACAGGTATTCAGTCAAAATCCCAAATTACGTTTAATATGCACCGGAGTTATCTCCAACAGTTGGGCACTTTCCCAGAAGCGATTTGTTACTTGGGCAGCTGTGGACATTGCTGTTTTAGTGGACAGGTTTTTAGTGTAAGCTGTCACATTGGTGCTTCACTGCCGTACGACAAAAGAAATCTCATCTTAGGAGTCCCACAGTACGGAGACGAGCAAAATGGCAAGAGGATATGGCCAAACGGTGGCCTCACCACTCGGATAGAAACCTATAGAATAAACAATAAATCCACTCAATGTCCAGTCATGTTCACTAGACCGCTCTACAGTGTCCTGCCTTAGTAATCTCTTGAAGTCCGTTACGATAACTGGGCGAACTGCGTGGGTTGTACGTCTCAGCGTCTTTCTCAGAGAGTGGCTCAGCATCTTTCATTGTGTAACATAATCCGAACAATCAAGCAAAGAACAAGCGCGTTCGCGGCGCACCTAGTAATTATGAACAACCATTTTGGGCATAACCGAAAAGTTGAACATGATTTATCGAGTTTCGCCAAATCTTTCTAATGTCACCCTTGAAAATGCACTCGAAACAGGTGGAGCGATCGTCATTCGTTTAAGTCATCTCTCTGCGTTATCTCAAACGTCAGGTAAAAGCACTGTAACTGCTTCAGCCAACCAACTACTTGTCTCCAACCAATTTCAACTGACTGATATAAATGAATTTGTATTTGTACAGATTTAGACTGTAATTTTACATTCCGTTGTGTGATATTCATGTGTATAATTTCAGTTGCCAACTGACATCGAAAAACATGGGCATATTCAACTGGGTATTTTTCTGTAGTTTTTAAAATTCAGTCTTAGAAAATGGTCCGATAGTGTTGCTACAATTTTTCTGTCACTCTGTTGAACTTGTGGCACGAAACCCGAACACTTGAACACCCTCTGGGACTTCGCCGGGAATCTTTTAGGTCATTAAGACATCCTGTAAAAGATACCGAGGCGCTTTAACATGGGAGACCTACCTAGTAATGACATAACCCTGGAGTAACATCACAATCACCGCCACAATCGATGGAAAGTTGGCTTTTTTAGCCGCTCTTTAAGTATGTGTCCTCGGTTGACTTTTGAACTTTGACTGATTTCCCCTGGAAGTTTCGTCACTGAGTTTTTTTGGATAAGTGTTGGATACAGAGCATCTAGTGGTTCCAGCTGCATATTTCTGCTGGCAGACAGAATAGGAGGGAGTGACCGCTCGACGGAGGTGGTAACTGAAGGTGCTCTGTGCCGACAACGACGATAACTAGATACTGACTCGAGAGAAGCAAGCGGGATTCCGGCCTGCTAGCGGTTGCGTTGACCAATAAGTTACTTCCAGCATTGATTGACCTAGATGGGGGGAGTGTTGGAGCTTACATTCGGTCTAATTCCCTCCCTATATGGGATGGAAAGTCTCCAAACGCCGGTGTTCAAATAGCCTGTGACGAAAACCTTGTCCATCTGGAATATACAGACGATATGGTGTTTACTTTCAAAGAAGGGAAGAAGGCGCAAGTGTTTTTGGATGGACTGACCAGTTATCCCGTCCTCTGACATGCAATTAGCACCCACAAATTGCAGGATCACGCTCCTGGACATGCAGTTACTGAACACGCCACCTGAAATCCAGGGAGAAATACTGGAAGTTGTGGAGCGTTTTACGTATCTTGGAAGCTGTATTAGTTCTGATTGTAGTGTGACAGATGGGGTCAATGCGCAAATCTGCAAGGCCCCGGTCGCGCTTGCTAATTTGAGACATCTATGTCATCAAAGGGGTATATCCCTGAATCTCAAGGGACGTACGTATCAGGTTAGTGGGGGCTGTTTTGTTCCGTGGCTGTGAGATTTGGCCTGTTCGAGCAGCGGAACTGAGATGTCTTCAGGTGTTCGAAAATCGTTGTCTCAGAACCATAACTCGTGTGGATTAGTGTCGGCGAATTCGTGACGAGGCAATCAGGAAGTGAGTTTTCGGTTGTGCAACGTGTACCTCCATTGAAGAATGTATCTGGAACCAGAAGCTGCGTTTGTTAGGACATGTGCTGCGTATACCGAACCATCGTTCGCCGAAAAGTGCTGTTTTCCATGCCCAACTCAGAGTGGCGTAAGCAGAGAGGTGGCCAACCCTTGAATTGGCAGGGGGGTATGAAGGAGATTACGAAGCGCTTGGGTGCTGTTGGTGCTATTCGCCTTTCAGGATGGGGACCGCGTGATCCTCACTATGCCTGGTTGGAGACACTACAAGATATGGCTGCCAACCGATGTCGGTGGCGTTCTTGTTGTCAGTTTCTACCCAGATTGCCTGAGTGAATGTCTGGAGGTGTAGGCACCTCGGAGTGATTGTGGTAACCTAGCACTAGGTCCCTTCCCTGTCCACTTTTACTTTTGTCCTCACAATAAGGCTTTCAAGTAAATCATGGTTGTACGGCAGTGAAGCAGCATCGGTGTTGGACACTGATGTCATGCTGTCGATGTTGATAATTTCCTGAAATGCGTGTGATGGGTGTCTGCGTTGGTAGCTTACTCGGATGGATCCCACACTAAGTTAGGTGCATCCACTTCCCGAAGTCATGCACGTCTTGGCAGTACCAGATGAACTGTATACCCAAAGACCATTGGACAAAGTCTGCGTGCAGTGGACACGCCTATCAAGCACCCGTCAGACCGCGTGGCCACTGAAGGTATACGTAGAGGTATACGTAAGAACGGCTCATTAGGGCACAATGGATTTACTCCTATCAACCACAAGAAATTCGGTTCCAAGTAGATCATAAGGTTGACGGAAACTCGAGGACTGCGCCCACCTGATGAGCCTCAAGAAGGGTGAAACCGGTCGTGGGCTGTCGAAGAGTTTTCAGTAACATTGTGAATGGTTTCCTTTATGAAAATATACTGCGGTATCTGGAATATCGTGCCAACTGAATCATGAGGCGGCCTGTGTGCAGCACATTCAGCTGGAGGACATCATAAACGAGAGATTCAGTTGAGTCTCTCGTGAAAACCAATTTGTTTGCAAATGAGTGTATTTTTCTCGAAAACAGTCTATTTTGGGTTCAAGTAGATCATAAGGTTGACGGAAGCTCGTGGACTGCGCCCACCTGATGAGCCCCAAGAAGGGCGAAACCGGTCGTGGGCTGTCGAAGAATTTTCAGCAACCTTGTGAGTAGTTTCCTTCACAAGGAATGAATTTGTCGGTTTTTGTGGAGCCGGCATTTTCGTTCACACAACAGGGCAATGGTCCTCACTGATGCAATAATATCTCCCATGTAGCTTCCAGAGGGAACAATGTCTCTTTTAGACAATCTAATAGACACGTAACAACAGTGCACCGGATAACTTGCTGAAGTCCATCACCACAAAGATCCTGGGCACTGTGAATCCACACACACAAGAATCCAATCGCCTTATCCTTGTCACGTGTTCAAAACAGCATAGGTAGTTTTCAACCAACCAAATATTTGACCACTGAATTTTATGCTGACTGAAATTGTCCCGTTTCTGATCGAATTTTGCTAATTCTCTTATATATTTATTCGACACTAATGAAATAACGTTGAAAAGGCACGATTCGCTGGCTGTGTATCGTTTGACCGTCGTTGAAATCGCACAAGGCTGTTGTTGATCAGATGTCGATCCCTATTACTGAGCGATCATAATCATCATCGTCGACAGCGAACCTCATCACGAGTGAACTTGTAACCAATCCATGCGCAAACCAGTAGCTAGTAGCGTGAACTTCCACACACGACATTATAAAAAAGAGACATTTCGCTCATACACACGAGCAATTATTGGCAAACTAATCTAATGCTAAGGAGAAACTCCAGTGCATCTCATTTGAACCTCATAAACGATACTTTTTCGACCCAATATGTCACCTAGAGGCTGCCCCACGTATCATTTGAAATAGCATTCAATGGCTTGTTAAACTTCACAGCCGAATAGTTCGCAATGGACATACCGAATGCGCGCACAGTAACGCTTATTTTGAGTGACTAGATCATTCTTACCTTGAGTGACATTACTGCTTCGGGGATAACTGTCTCTTTCATATTATAAATGATATTCAGATCGGGTAGGTTATATTTTCTTCTGGTAGTATGGGGATTCTTACTCGGGATTTCATCCTGCTGCCTAGGCTGAAAATACGAGGAGCTGTTGCACCTTTGTTGAGGATCATCACCAGTGCGCATTTCACAGGCCCCCAGATCGATTTGAGCCCACTGGCCTCCGGTTACTAGCTAAATTCTCCGACATTTGACTAGGGGCAGCTGATGAGCAGTGTGATCAACTCACACTAAGACAGGACATGGGACTACTCATGTTTCAACCAAGGAATCTACGTTACGTGGTCCCATGTTAACTGATTTCTTCGTCACCCGTTTACCCTTGGTGTGATAATTTTGTCTTATCAACCACTTACAGTTTGTTGATAGTGGGAGAAGATTTGGAAATCATCTAAATAGATTTCGTCCTGTGAATGATGTTAACATGTGACGACTTGACTTAAATTCTTCGACTGGAAAGCGAGAGGAACTACACAGTGCCTCGATGCGAGCTATTCATACTACTGAACAACTACTCATGGCATAACAGAAATAGTGCTCCCTTGGAATTTCTTTCTGGCCGGATTGTTTATGGCTACTTGACAGCTTTGATATTTTAGTCGAGATTCCATCCTGCCAGTGAACCAGGGTAGTAACTCTGTATGTTCACCAGATGAACACCGCGGGTGCCAACCAACATGGATGGAATAGCCGCAGGTTGACTGTCGGCTTTTTTTAGCTTGGATTGGCTTCAGCTTCATGACTATTTCGATTCTAACACATTACAAATAGCCTTAAAAAAGGAGAAGCCATGTGAACTTTACATAGGGGAAAATTCTGACCGGATACTTTTTTTGGACGCATTTTGTCTTCAGACTTTACTTTGGTGTGTTGGTTGGCTTGTGCGGAACCGAATTTCGTACTATCCTTGAACTATTTCCCCCTATTCGGACCTGGAAGCATACGGATGATGAGTAAATTCACAAGAGTCATCACCCTACAAAAGTATGATGAAAACTTGACGAACGAAGAGTAACTAACGCTTTTCACTTGGTCATTTAGGAAAGGCCAGAACTCTTTTGGATAGAGTCACGATAAATCATTCTAGTTAGTTTGATAATGGAACAATAAATATGGATAGTTTGTCCTTCCGTTGTGAGCGTAGAACTTGACGATTTTTCGCTCACAAATGAGGTGGACACAAGTCGAATCAGACGTCGTGAGAACGCTGGTTCAATGCAAGACTGGTTTTGCGTGTCCAGCGATCGAGCAGCCCCACGTAATTAACAGTCTTCTTAGATTGGTTACAAGTCCTTAATAAATACACCGACTGAGATCCATCGGGGAGTACTGTAACGCGTCATGCCAAGTTGTATCGCGTTTGGTCAGACGCTTTCGGCTAGGACTGTGTTTTCCAGTGGCTCCAATCTATCTCATAGTCATCACTCTAGTTCTCTCTTCACATGCTGGTTTTCTCAATTAGCATGGGATCAAGATGCCTTTGATGCTTTCAGACAAGTTGAGAGTCTGTAATCCGATCTGAGACTCGATGCATTCAGATTTCTCACAAAATTACGCACGACACTCGAAATTCATGCACCAGATCATCTAATCGAAGATAGTATAAATATAACCCTGTCATATGAACGAAACACCTAAGAATGGGTCAAGACATTGCCATCAAAGCTGTCAAACAAGGCTGGTTTCTCTGGAGAACTCACTTCTCCTGACTAGACCAGCGTGGATGATCTGAGGATAGTTTCCTCATGTTGATGGGCCAAAATTCAATGTTCTGTCTCATCTTAGTTTTGAAATAAGTCGAAAGGAAAGTGCGAAAAGAAGTCAGGATTGTCAGGCGGTAGGGTGCGATGTGTTCTCACGTGGGGTCGGTGTGATTGTCAGGATTTCACAGGTCCATTATCATTCACTGCTTGTTATGGTTTTGAAAGACTGCTCGATAACATTCTTTATTGAGTGCCAGTTTAAATACTTCTCGATCGGGTAGAAGAGACAAGACCAATATACTAGGCGATTCTAAAAAGCGATTCATGGCCAATCTAATGTTTGGGTTTACGCTATCAATGAAATGCTTTTAGCTAGTAGAAAAAACCCAATGAAGTCACGATATGCAACGATTCTTAATGTGCATAAATGACTGGGTGGAAGATATCGGCTTCGTAACAGTTGCACGGCCTCACACACAGAGGTGTGACCGATGTGTATTTGTGTCCGTATGTGGAAAATAAATCTACCAGTGTCCCGAATGAAGTCAGTTGGAATAATATCCACCAGCTGCCACAAGGCAAAAAACGTGGCTATTCATCGTTTTCCATGTGATACAAAAATAAATTTGTGCACACATGTTCGTGACAGGACAATCCGCCCCAGATAAGCTTGGTCCCAAATCATAACCGAACAGCTGAAGGACATTTCATAAACGAACGTGACTAGCCCGATTTCCAGCCAAACCTGCTGCTATCGAACAACCCTTGATGGCTATTTTTAGCTCCCTCGCCTGCGCGTGCGCCAGCTAGCTCGGAAAATCCGCACACCACAGCGTAGGTGCGTGCGCACGGAGAAGTGAACACGAACGCGTTTGAGTGTAAACCTACACAGACGCAACTCTGTCGACAGCCGTTCTATTGAAAGTTAAATACAGATTCAGACACGCACACACTCACAGATAGAAGCATAACCAAACCCACGATCTGACCTAAACAGTTTCTTCCAAAACAAGACATTTGTCTCACCCATCTTTCACACCGGTCTGGAGAAGGGGACTTTTACAGACTGCTCAAAAAGAGCATTATTCCACTTTCACTTTTGGCCAATGTTTTGATAGACGCTCTCTAGGGATTTCCCTCGAAGCTTAAAATCATTTCGTAAACTCGTGCCCAACCTAGGCTGTTGTAGTAGTCCACTCCTCCTTGGCGATGGGTTAGTGTATTCTCCCACAAACTGGATTTTGTTCGAACTCAATTAGAGCATAAAGGGAGTCTCTCGGGGGAAGGGAGAAATGTTTTCGCACAAGGCAGTGTGCCAAAAATTTGAACCGATCACAGACAGCACCCGAATTTGTCAAATTTTTGAGCATTTACTTGGGAGCGGGGCTTTTTGGGAGGAGATACCGTGCACTTGTTTGATAGTGAAGTTGGCTTGGCTGGGAATTTTCCCCTGCCAGAAAAAACCCTACAGTCCCACTCATTCTGTTGACATTCTGACAAATCAACCGATATTAGAATCAAGTAAAATTTCCATCAAGCA